AAATACAAATACAAATACCTAGTTTGAGATTTTCTATCGGAAAACATTTGCATTATTACAATTATTATAACAACTTTCTCAACAATTTATACATAATTGTATATTCTGTTGAGTTGAATTGTATACAAATCGTTTTCAGATTACAAAATATTATCAAAAGTATTTGCACAATCAAATAAAATAAAGAAAAGTTTGTATTTAAATAGAGCATTTTAAATACTTTTACTCAAATACTTTACAAGTATGGTCCTTCGTAGATATTAGGCAATTTTTCTTTTTGATTTCCCGCTTAAATATAAAAATAGGTTGTTGGATTTCACAAAATATTAATATTTTTTGAAAATGATATATAAATTCAAAATATACTTACCGTTTGTTTTTCTTTTTGTTTTAGCTGAAAATTACGCCTTTGCTTGAAAATATTAGTTGCTTTTTGTCTTGTTATTCATACAGTTACGATTGAAAGAAGTATTTTTAGAATTCAATTCGAAATAAATTGCCTCTTAGATCAATAAATCAAACTTTGTTGGTCAATAAATTTCAAACATTTGGAAATTTTACGTTATTTATGCGTGTAATTATTTCAGGACTCTATAGGCGCGGTATCAAATGGCTCAAACCTTTGTTAAAAATAAGTGACCCCGTTGTTATAGGTATTATTAAATAATATTATTATTGACAGTTTGCAACACATTTTGAAAAAGGCTCTGCATTTATTAGATAACGCATTGAAAACAAGATGGTTATAGTTTACAATTAGAAATTGTGTTAAAGCTTTAGGTACATAATGCTTGAGGGTACAGAAAGCGTTTGGTTTTTGAAGGTTTCTTACCTGTTAATTAATTTATTTTCTTCAGTTATTCACTCGGTATATCGTCTTGAGTTGAATACATTGGAAATGGAATACATTTTAACACTCAGTATTACCTACAGTCTTCGTATATATAATATTAGTGGAGAGGATTTTTTGTCAGCAAATAAAATTATGAAACTTCTTTTAACCACGTGTGTACCGCCTCGTTGTGGACATAGAGGTGGGTTAAATTAAGCCTGTCACGGCTTTTGCAAATATATTAATAGGTTCACGAGAGGGACTGCATACATGTATAAGCGTCACGACGACGGGCGTCCAAATATTAGGTACACGGGAACACGAAATAATTTTCTTTTCCGTCGCTATATCCAATAATAACTGATGTCAATTGCCGAAACCAATTCTACGATATCTGAACGCATGTCATTTTCACAGCATTATTAATATAATTATGACTCATTAACTAATTTTAAAATTTATCATAGTACCTATTTGCCTTGAAGATAATGTGGTTACTAATTCTTCCTCAAGAGAATTAATATTGAAGGAAAAATAGGCAATTCTGGGGTGAAGGTTTTTTTTTTATTAAATTTTGTTTTGCCTTATGGTAGTCACGACCCTTACTTTCAAGTGACTACCGAAAGCCCTAACTGCTCCGGCAATGATGACGATGACGCGCATCCGCATTATACCTCTGGTGATTCCTATTGCACCGTCCATATGGGACCGCCACGTCCGACATATTCTGCATGTGAATACATTGGTTTTTGCTTTTTCCATATTCAAGTTACTTTTGTATTTTGTGGTAATACTTTACCAATCGAACACCAACGAGTGTTACTAATCATTGCCTACAATTGACTTGTATACGTACCAGCTGTTTGCGAAGGTCACAAGTAGGTTTGCGTGTTTCGTCGAAAGCCAATAAGATAACACGGTAACGGTTCTCGTTGTGGTACTATGATGAGATGCACTTTGCACTCTTCAGTGTCTCCAGATGCTACTCTTCAAATATTCCGTAATACTGATCAGACGTGGTGTATATACTTAATAGCAGTTTAGATGTGGTGTTTGTGTCATAGGTTTATTAAAAGAGAATGTGGAAAGATTGGAAAATCGGGATGAACACGAAATTCGAAAATCTAATTTAGATCTAAACATCAACAAAGTGTATGATGTATATAGATGAGATGTTTCTACTTTAAATAGGTATTCATTTTCTACCTGCAGTACCTTTATGTACTCCGGGGAACAACTATACCATGACCTTTTTGAGGATTAAATTTATTGGGGCGCAACTAGGCTATGAATTAGGGTTCAACTGACCACGGGGTGCAACTTACATATATCGATTCTTTCTGTTTTTTTTAAATCACATAATTGTGTTTTCCTAGATCGCAATACCTTTCATTTGTTTTGTTTCGACTTCCTTTTAATTTAATATTTTATTGTTTGAACTGTTGTGGCACCGGGATACTAAAATGATTGTCAGGATGATAGCCTTTCGAGGTCGGGATGAATAACAAGACTGCGATAATAATTTAACATTCACTGATTTTCCAATTGTAATTACTGAATTGACTGACTAGCTATCCATCTAACTAATTATCAATCTGCCTCCTGCATCTTTTAAAGAGTAGGAAAATTATAGCTACACCCCCGTAGCCTTCTAAGGAAATTTTGAGAATGGAATATTCTAGAAGAATTTTTGTTGTGAGATTGGCTCCGCAAATAAACAACAAATGTTTCTAACAGTTTCGTCGCGAAGGGGATTTTAATAAACAAAGAGTGATTTTTGGATTCATTATGAATTTAGGGTGATAGGAGTATAATAAATATAAACATATACAATAATTTTAGAATTCAAGGTGAAACTTGTAGTAAAAACATTAGTCAAAAAATTATTTGGGAATAATAACGTTAAATTTTGTTTTAAATGAAATTTTATGATCAGAGGACTCAAAGGACAAATTTTGAAACTTTTTTGGACTTATTGCATTCCCACTTATGTGCATGCGAATTTCTTCAAAATTTACTCCTTACGGTTAGATATTATTTCTTAAACATAATTAAGGGTTGGATAGAAAAGCAAATAAAAAATAAATAATTATTAATTAGTA